TATTCTCGTGAATTTGTGTTTTTTATTGTTTCACAGTAGGCGTGACAAACATTTAGTCCGTTTGGAGCTTCCATTTACCTTTTGATCTGCTGGATTAATTCAAAAAAGTATTCACTGTAGATTTAATTATGTGAAAAAGAGTTCCTTTGATGAAAGTAAGAATCCGTATAACATTGACATCATATGAATCAAAATCATGTATTGATGCGAAAATTAGAATATCGAAAAAATACAGGTTGATTTTATTGATTTAAAGTCTCAATTTTTACATTGAAATCCTAATTTTTTGATTATACTCAAAGCTCGAAACGTACGATAAATTATAAGTTCCTAATATTCTCAAACATAAATTTGCTGCATTAGAGTTTTCATCACAAATTATCAACTCATCAGTATATGAGCTAATTGAAACTCGTTTTATGACAAGCAATACAACATTATTAATTATGAGCTACATAATCCAATTAGAAACTCTAGCCAAGTTAAAAGAGAGTAATATTGTCAGTTAATATATATTCGACAAATGTATGTGGCATAAACAGAACGGATCTCATATCCTTAGTAAGTGATTGTTAGTCTTAATCAAATTGGAGAGATAGGAAAGCAAAGGGAAGAAAAGAAAAATTTAAGTCAAGAAGTAAAAGAAAAAAGTCAGAGAAGATGAAGGAAAAAAGAATAAAGTTAGAGAAGGACAAAAGAGAAAATAAATTCGTCCAGCACATTCATTCATTGATTCGATGAAGATTGCTGAATAAGTAAACATCACTTCTGCAAGCAATGTGAATGCATACAAAGATAAGATACATGAATGATATCTGAATTTAATCTAAAATACTATTCAGATTACGAAGAAATTCACATATTTACTGTATACGAATTGTGAATAAGGATTCTCATTGACCGTTGGTCGAGCTTAGAAAACATGAGCAAAAAGATTCAGATAACTCTAATAGAAGAAGTCTTCAGAATTGAACGATGTAGAGGATTTAGTTTCACCTTACGTTCTGCGTTTATTTTTGCTTTTTCTTAGGATAGTATTTGTGGAAAACTTTCTTGTACATTCCATCGAGATAGTTGACAAAATACGATATTCGTAGAAAAAATATAAAATATAGAACTTATTTGTCATTTGGTAGCACCACATTCCATAATAAAATCATTAGTGAAACTAAGCTATTTAACATTTTTAAACTGATTTATTAAGATCAACCAGTGTGACGTTTTGTTCTAACTAAGAACATTATCAAACACAAATAAGTAGACAGAAGAAGAATATATATAAGAGTAAAATAATGTCATCGTTTTTATTCTATTGTTTTAAGCATTTCAATACACGGAGGAGTAAAATTGATCTGTCTGCATTAAAATGTTTAAAACAATAGAATAGAAAAACGAAGACATTATTTTATTCTTATATATACTGTATTCTTTTTCTGTCTATTTATTTGTGTTTGATAATGTTTTTAGTTAGAACGAAACGTCACACTGATTGATCTTAATAAATCAGTTGAAAAAAATGTTAAATAGCTTAGTTTCATTAATGATTTCATTTTAGAGCTTGTTATTTTACTGAATTCGTCGTCGATTGAAACTTACGCGAAGAAACTTTAATTTTTTAACTCTTATACCTTAAAAAAGAATATAATGCTGAGTATATATTCCGTTTTCAGTATAAATCTTAAACGAACAACTAGATAATAAATATGCGTAAGACATAAAGATTACAGTAATCAAATAAAAAACTTAGCTGCTCTATTAACTTTTGTAGCAATAAATTATTTTTTATCTACGGCCAACGACTGTTAAAGAATGAGAAAAAAAAATAGTCACAACAATGAATAAATTTTAGAAGCACGTCAATAGTGTTGCTGTTCAATATTTTCTTTTGATAAAATATACCAAAAAATTGACACTATTTTATCTATGGTATTTTTCCCTAGAATTTTTCGCTTATCGTATCAATTCATTGATTCTTCTTAAAAATCTAAGTTTCATTATCACATACATATCTGATACTAATAAACTAATTTAGAATCTTCTTTCATTATTCATCGAGACTATCATAAATCACAACTTTGTAGGTAATTATATATTTCTCCATAGGTATTAGAATAAACTAGACTTGAGAATTAGTAACGAAAACTTGAGAAGATTTCGATAGAATATTTATCAGATGTAAGACACGCGCATCATCCTTGAGCGATCGACAAAATTTGAATTATCTACGAAGAGTATAGAAAAAAAAAATTTAAAAAACGATTGCTGTGTTAGAAGAAAGAGTGCAGTCAGGTTTTTTGTAATATCTCAACATATTCTAATGAAAAGATCTCATTTTATTCTCAAGAAAACAGAAAAGTTAAATTTCTAAAAAGTCAAAATATTTATTTAAAGAAATGAAAGTTCATGGACCTTTAAAACATAAGGCATGAGTAGAAGTCTTTTGAGCAAATATCAAAACAAAAAGAAAAGTTTGTAGAAAAGACTTCTACTCATGTCTTATATTATATAGATGCCGAACTTTCATTTCTTTAAATAAATATTTTAACTTGTTAAAGATTTAACTTATGCTTTTTCGAAAACAAAATGAGACCTACTCATTGGAATGTATTGAGATATTGAGAAAAAGTACGAACGTGTATTGTCCATCATCAAATTAATAAAATTAGATGAATGGTCAAGTTACAAGTAAGACGAAGATGATTCTTGAATATTAAACCTTTTTTTCAAGTAAAGAATCGTTTACGACCGATGAAATAATAAAAAATTATGGTTTTAACGTCAACGAATCACTATTTATGACATTTATAATTCGAAGTTTAAACGGCAAGAACATAATATTACTTTATGACATACAAAATCGTTTTTTGTGATAAACGCGTAATTTGGTCAATATATCATCGTTTAAACGATGTGACATTAAACATCGTTTTAACGGTAGAACAGCGTTTCCTCAACTAAATGGGTACAACCATAAGCACACCCAGATCTACATCCAACCACAACCAGATCTACATCCAACGACACCCAGATCTACATCCAACCACACCCACATCCACACGGGTAGCACTCGATGGGCTATAATCCACATCCATGCCAAGATCTACACCTAACCACAGCCATACCAACACACACCCACACCCACACACCCACATCCACACCGACACCCACACCCACACCTATACCCACACCCAATCGGGTAGGACCCGATGGGTTCTAATCCACAACGACACCAAGATCTACACCGAACCACAGCTACAGCCACACACATCCACGCCCACACATCCACGCCCACACATCCACGCCCACACATCCACACCCACAAGCACAACCACCCCGGTAGGACCCGATGGACTCTAATCCACACCCACATAAAGATCTACACCCAACTACTGCCACAGCCACACCCACCACGGTAGGACTCGGTGCGCTCTAAGTCACAACCACCCACACCCACACCCACGATCTACACCCAACCACAGTCACACACACCGACACCCAACCGGGTAGGACCCGATGGTCTGCAATCCACATCCACAGAAAGATCTACACCCAACCACAGCCACAGCCACACTCACACACATATGTACCAACCCGGGTAGGACTCGGTGGGCTCTAAGCCACACCCACTTACACCCACAGCCGCTCCCACGCACCCAAACCCACACGCACAGCCACAGCCATACCTACACTCACATGCACCCACCCGGGTAGGACTCGGTGGGCTCTATCTAAGCCACACGCATCCACAGCCACCCCTACGCATCCACACCCACACGCACACCCACACTCACACGCACACGCACACCCACACCCACACCCAACCACACCCATACCCACACCCACACTCTCGTTATGCTCGTGAACATATTGATATTTTAATTAGCGCGCATTAATTATCGATATAATTATTATTTGCATATGGTTAGCATTAACAAATATTGGTTATTACAAATACAAACAAATTAAACACAGGGAATCTTCTCTTTCAGAAGTGTTTCTGTTTTCAACAAACAAAGTTATTTATGTTTTAACTTTACACATATTACATATTTTATTAATATACTAACGATACCTATGTATGCAATATTGATAGGTTTATTCCTCAGAACGAATGATAAATTATATGATTTATTTGTTTACCTTATTTATATTATTCTTTTTTTCTCTTCACTTATTTTATATCAATTTGTTTAATCTTCTTTTCTTTAGTCATTATAATGTTAGATAAATGTGTTCCATATCATTTGTGTGATATTAACAATTCTCCAGCTCATCTTGATAATAATCAAAAATCGAATTGGATATGTGCTGCAAACAAAGGCAAAGAATAATTATTAATATCAACAACAATATCCAGCATTTGATATACCAACATCACTTTATGAAATTATATATATGTAAACAAATATACAACAACTGAAACAATGCAAAAATTAATTAATCATGTACGAAATTGTAATGAATTTACATCTGATACTGAAGGTGAAAAATCAACCAAACAATTAACATTAATTCAAATTCAAACAATACCTCAACAATTACCATTTTTTGTTATATTAGTAGAACTTGCACATTTACCACCAAGTAATTCATTAATTCATTTACAAATTAAACAATTATTTGAATTAATTTTTAAATTTAGAAATAACATATATTCTTGGAAACCATTACGTAAGGAAATGTATCCAGCTATTGTTTTTCAATGGTTTGAATGGCCAATTAAAACATCAGTGGTTAGTTTTCAACTTAAATTTGCTGATTGGTATGGTTGGGCACTGTCTCATTGCGAGATGTGTAGCTTGTCAAATCGTCGTAATGTTATTATTAAGGATATTAATTCTGAGGGACAAATGAATTTATTATCAAAATGTACTTGTCATAAATCAAGTCCTTATCGTCTTAATGAACCATGAGCATTACAACAAGCTTTAATTTGTACATATGGAATATTTATTGACAAGTCAATTACTGTTAATGAATGGGCAACGGAATTAGATCCAATGTACTCAACCTTATCAACATCAAAAAGAAATAAAATGATACATTACGCAATATATGATTGTTTTTCAGCAACATGTTTAATTCGACTTGTTACATTATATTGGACATTTCAACATGTAACAAAAATTAATATTCTTGATTCATTTCAGGCATTACCACCATCATCACGAGCTAATAACAACTCAGCAAATACAAATATTAATCAACGAATAATTGAGAATATTAATGATGATATTGAATTAATCTCCGATGATGATGATGAAATAACAGTTAATTAATGTATTAAAATTACTATTAATAATGATATGTTACATGAAGAAATTTCAAATGATGATAATGAATTAAATAAAGCATTGCTACCAAATAATAATGAATCATTATATGAAGCAATATCAGATGATGATAATGAACCAAATCCTGCATTACCACCAAATGATAATGATTTACGTGTCAACAACCATGATATGGTTGATGATGTCAGTGATTATGAACAATAACAACAATCTTTAACCAAGAAACGTCAATTACATAGTCGAACACGATCAGCTGAAGCTCGAAAACGACGAAATCGAAAAAGAAATCTTTATTTCCGAATGCAAAGTTATAGATATTTTATCACTCGTCCATTCTACTACAGATTTACAATGAAATTAGTTCGACATATTCTTCCTGAATACAATTTTTATTATACTCATGTCAAACCAGTTGATGATTTATTACTTATTGGTGTAAAAGACAAAATAATTGAACAACAAAATGAACGGAGATTACTCGGTGATATATTTGATCGACGTCATTATTACTTGTTTCGTCGTCAAGCTCAATATTTATCAAGAAGATCAAATGATATACAAGAGTAAACAACAACAGTAAAAATTTTTTTTTTCTCTTTCTATTGCTGTATTTTTTTTATTATTGTCAGATTTTTTCTCTATATTGTATTTTTTTTTCTTTATGCTTTATATTTCCTTCCTGATATTATATGAAAATTTGTTCCTACTGTTTTTTTTCTTTTTCTCTTTCATTTGATGCATTTACAGTTATGTTATTATGCTTCAAAAAAAATTGTTTTGTAAACAAAAACTTTTTTCCTTGTCCGAGAAGGATGTTATATCCGGCATCTATATTGACATCCTTTTTTTGTTTTCTTTTTCTTTCTATCGTTTCTTTTTTTCTTGTTATACCTGGTGATGCTCATATATATATGTGATATACATTTGACTAGCCAGATCATCTTTTTTGAAATAAAAGTTATGTTTGTCCTCAAACGACCTCACATTTGCCATTAAATTTATTCTAACAAAAATAGAACATAATACACAGGTCGAAAATTCCCATCGGTAGGTCGAAAATTCCCACCGGTAGGTCGAAAATACCCATCGGTAGGTCGAAAATTCCCATCAGTAGGTCGAAAATTCCCATAGGTAGGTCGAAAATACCCATCGGTAGGTCGAAAATTCCCATCGGTAGGTCGAAAATACCCATCGGTAGGTCGAAAATTCCCATCGGTAGGTCGAAAATTCCCATCGGTAGGTCGAAAATTCCCATCGGTAGGTCGAAAATTCCCATCGGTAGGTCGAAAATACCCATCGGTAGGTCGAAAATTCGCATCGGTAGGTCGGAAATACTCATCGGTAAGTCGAAAATTCCCATCAGTAGGTCGAAAATCCCCATAGGTAGGTCGAAAATTCCCATTGGTAGGTTGGAAATTCCCATCGATAGTGGGGAACTCCCATAGATAGGTGGGGAATTCCTACAGAAAAGCGCAGAATTTGGACCGATAAGTGTGCGCATTCCTATCAATAGGTGGGGAATCCCCATCGATAAGTGGGGAATTTTTACTCATTGCCAATTGGATATAAAAGCACGCGTGCGTCGATATTCATCTCATTCCCTCTCAACATTCGGATTATAAAGCCGAACCGTTACTGCAAGAGCATACCATTTACATACTTGCTCATATTTATCTACTATTTTCCCCTCAGCGTCGAACAGCAACAAACGACAATGCAAAAGACCACTCAAATGGCTTGTTTAATCGCTTTTTTGGCATTGGTGATAACAAGCTGCATGGTACAAGCAGCACCAACTTATGATAATGATTTGGTTGTTCGTCGTCTTCAGCCTCATGTAATTAACAAACGAGCAGCGATTTAATTTTTTTTCCTCTCTTTCCCGATCATGTGATCAACTGCAAATCTTCCCTTTCAATTAAGGAACATATTTGAAAAAGCCTACAGAAGAATTATACATTTGTCGTGTGTTCATAGTTGATGTAATCCACTCCAAACCTTTGCTTTCAATTCAGCAAAATAATTGAAAGAATATTGTGGGCAATTATTCACTTATCGACTGTTCACAGTTGATGTAATCAACTCCAAATCTTTGCTTTCAATTCAGCAAAATATTTCAAAGAATCTTTCCTGAGAATTATTCATTTGTCGTGCGTTCATACTTGATTTAATCACCTCCAAATCTATGCTTTGAACTGAGCAAAATATTTGAAAGAATCTTTGCTGACAATTATTCATTCGTCGTCTGTTCATAGTTCATCTAATCACCTTCAAATCTCTCCTTTCAATTCAGCAAAATATTTCAAAGAATCTTTAAAAGAATTATTCATTTGTCGTGTGTTCATACTTCATGTAATCAAGTCCAAATCTATGCATTCAATTGAACAAAACATTTCAAAGAACCTCTTGGAGACGTATTCCTTTGTCCTGTGTTAACGGTTGATGTAATGAACTGCAAATCTTTGCTTTCAATTCAGCAAAACATTCCAAAGAATATTTCAAAGAATTATTCATTTGTCGCATGTTCATAGTTGACGTAATCAACAGGAAATCTTTCCTTCGAATTGACCAAACTATTTGAAAGAGTCTTGTCTGAGTATCATTCATTTGTCGTGTGTTCATAGTTGATGTAAAAAAGTCCAAAGCTTTGCTTTGAATTCAGCAAAATATTTGAACGAATCTTTGTTGACAATTATTCATTTGTCGTGTGTTCATAGTCGATCTAATCAACTCCAAATCTTTGCTTTCAATTCAGGAAAATATTTGAAAGAATCCTTCCAAGAATTATTCATTTCTCCCGTGTTCATAGTTGATATAATCAACTCCAAATCTTTGCTTTCAATTCAGCCGAACACTTGAAAGAATATTGTGGAGAATTATTCACCTGTCGCGTGTTCATAGTTGATGTAATCAACTTCAAATCTTTGCTGTGCATTGAGCAAAATATTTCCAAGAATCTTTTACAGCATTATTCATTTGTGCTGTGTTCATAGTTAATGTAATCAACTCAAAATCAACGGTTTCATTTGAGCAAAACATCTGAAAGAATCTCCTGCAGAACTATTCATTTTTCGTGTGTTCATAGTTGATGCAATCAACTACAAATCCTTGCTTTGAATTGAGCCAAATATTTGAAACAATCTTTAGTGAGATTCATTCGTTTGTCTTGCGTTCACAGTGGATGTAATCAGCTCCAAATCTTTGCTTTCAATTCAGCACAATATTTCAAAGAATCTTTGGTGAGGATTAATCATTTGTCGTCTGTTGCTAGTTGATGTAATCAGCTCCAAATCTTTGCTTCCAATTCTGCAAAATACTTGAAAGAATCTCTAAAAGAAGTATTCATTTGTCGTGTGTTCATATTTGATGCAATCAACTCAATATCTTTGCTTTCAACTGAGCAAGATATTTGAAAGAATCTCTAGAAGAAGTAATCATCTGTCGTGTGTTCATACTCGATGTAATCAAATCCAAATTGTTATTTTCAATTCAGCAAAATATTTGGCAAAATCTTCCAAAGAAGTATTCATCCGTCATGCGCTCACAGTTGATGTAATCAACTCCAAATGTTCGCATTGAATTCAGCAAAATATTTGAAAGAATCTTTCTTGAGAATTATTCATTTGTCGTGTGTTCATAGTTGATGTAATGAACTCCAGATCTTTGCTATGAATTCAGTAAAATATTTCAAAGAATCTTTTACAGAATGATTCATTTCTCGTGTGTTCATAGTTGATGTAATCAACTTCAAAACTTTGTTTTGAATTGAGCAAAATATTTGAAAGAATCTTCCAAAAATGAATTACTCATTTCTCGTTTGTTGATAGTTGATGTAATCAAGTCCAAATCTTTGCTTTGAATTGAGCAAAATATTTCAAAGAATCTTTGCTGAGAATTATTCATTTTCCGTATCTTTCTAGTTGATGCAAGCAACTCGAAATCTTTGCTTTGAATTGAGCAAAATATTTGAAACAATCTTTATAAGAATTATTCATTTAAAGTGTGTTCATAGTTGATGTAATCAACTTCGAAACTTTGCTTTGAACTGAGAAAAATATTTGAAAGAATCTTGAAAAGAATTATTGATTTATGGTGTGTTGGCAGTTGATTTAATCAACTCCAAATCTTTGCTTTGAGTCGAGCAAAATATTTGAAAGAATCTTGTGGAGAATTATTCATTTGTCGTGTGTTCGTAATTGATGTAATCAACTCCAAATCTTTGCTTTTAATTGAGCAAAACATTTGAAGGAATCTTTGGAAGCATTATTCATTTAACAGGTGTTCATAGTTGATCGAATCAACTTCTAATCTTTGCTTTGAATTTAGCAAAATATTTCAACGAATCTTTAAAAGAATTATTCATTTGTCGTCTGTTCATACATCATATAATCAACTTCAAATCTTTGCTTTGAATTGAGCAAAATATTCGAAAGAATCTTTCAAAGAATTATTCATTTGTCTTCTGTTGATAGTCTTTTAATCAACTTCAAATCTTTGCTTTGAATTGAGCAAAATATTTGAAAAAATCTTGTAGAGAAGTATTAAGTTGTCATGTGTTGGTAGTTGATGTAATCAACTCCAAATCTCTGCTTTGAATCGAGCAAAATATTTCAATGAATCTTCTGAAGAATGATTCATTTGTCGCGTGTTCATAGTTGATGTAATCAACTCCACATCGTTGCTTTCAATTGAGCATAATATTTCAAAGAATCTTCCTTGAGAATTATTCATTTGTCGTGTGTTCATAGTTGATGTAATCGACTTCAAATCTTTGTTTTGGATTGAGCAAAATATTTCAAAGAATCTTTCCTGAAAATTATTCATTTGTCCTGTGTTGATAGTTGATGTAATCAACTCCCAATCTTTGCTTTAAATTGAGCAAGATATTTCAAAGAATCTTTAAAAGAATTATTCATTTGTCTTGTATTCATAGTTGATATAATCAACTCTAAATCGTTCGTTTCATTTGGGCAAAATATTTGAAA